GCTGACTTGTAAGAGAACAAAATGTTATTTAATACCCGAACTGAATATAATACATAACAATGAAGTGGTTGGAGAAATGGGTTACAAAATGTGGACTGTACTGAAGCAACTCAAGATCATATGTCATATTTCAAAACTTTAAATCTAAAACTTCTACAGCAAGTGACATGAAAACTACAGAAGCTGTATACAAACTTTCACTGCATCATTCACTTAAAAAAATCATAAAACATGAAGTCTTAAATGAGAAAAATTCAAAATGAAATGTGGACCATTTTATAGGTATTTTAGGGTACCTTCAGATTTATATTTTATTATATATTTGTTTGAAACCTTATTCAGTTGCTACAGAAGACATGCAATTTTATTTTAATTATCGAAAATCAGTTTGTCAATTGTGTCAGGCAATGATCGTTCACCAGGCTGCAAAGTAGCTTCCCTCACTGTAAGCAGTGTCTAACTACAAAGAAACCAGTGTCATGCTTCAGAAACCATTCTGTTAAAATTATTAGTGGAAGACAAGACATCTGATAATGGTAACGGACTCTCCTCCTGCTGACAGGATGATGAAGGTGAGAGAGATTAGCTCTATCAATAGGGCCCAACAGAGTAGGTTTACCTCAAGATGGAGATAGACTCCATCTCCAAAATGTTGTGTTTTATTAAATCTGGGATGATGGATAATGTCCAGAAAGTAGTTCACTTCAACAACACACCACTGTCACAAACCTTCAGAATTAAATAACTCTTCTGTCTCATATTTAGGTAGTGTAACGTTTAAATCCCAGCATGTCACTCATCTTGACAAAATATTTTAATGAGTTTCCTCAGTCCTTCCATGGATAGTTATCTTAAATGTGGCCTTTACTGCTTCCTCCCACATTCCACGAAATTCATTATTCGTAATTGCATCTCAACACCACATAACCTCAGTAGTTGATACAGTGTATAACATAACCAAATAAACAATTATGAACAAATAAGACATCAATATTACCTCTAGCATTCAGTATAATCCTAGTGATTAGGTTACAAATGTTACAATGATTGTATGCCTTATAGTGAGCTGCTACAAAACCAGAATTAACAGAAAGGTTAATAATGGATTAATAAGACATGATTGTTCGCAATTAACTCGACCAAAATGGTGATCTGAGAGATCAAAGAGCTCCATGTACACATCAGAACTATTCACTTTCATGAAACCAACACTCAGTGCTCACCAAACTTTTTGATTGAAGAACCCTTCAGATCACATTGAAACATCACATCAAAACCATGAAGTGGTGACATAATAGGAACATTTTCAAACTGTTCTTTGCTGTGTGACAATGAACATTTCTACTGGTGCAATTAAAACCGCAGTTACATAATACACTTTGGGAGTTTTCTTTTGCTTCTTACAAGAACAGGGAACAAACTGATTTATCTATATAACACAAGGACTTTTTTATACTACCTTTGTGTTTCAAGCACACAAGGATGTCAGATGACTACAAGGAGATGGAACCACTGTCTGAATTTCCAATAAAAAAGCTTTTAATAAAATGAAATCTACAGACCCCAGAATGTTACAGAACCAAGTTTGGGCAACACTGGCATAAGTGTTGTGCTCATTCAAAGTGAATATCTGTAACTAAATGCTGTACAATTGAAGAATGTCATGTAACCCTGCTATATTAGTGGAAGCAAAAATGGTTTCAGAAATACAACAGACCAAACGGGCAAATCTGCAACAAACCGATGGACATGCAGCAAGTGACTAGGTTTCTTGTGCTGCTTGGGGAAGAGTCTGTGGCACAAATCCAATGACTTCTGTGTAAACAAGTTCTGCAACAAAGTACATGGAAAAATTAATTTAAAACTGCGCATACTGTGATAATATGTCAATATTTCTATGCACCAATACCTCATATGCTGAGAGTACTTGACAAGGAAATGCTGAAGAGTATATTTGGACCTAGG